TTTTTTTTCTTCTGAAAAAATCTCCAGCAATGAAAACACTTAAAATCAGACTTTATGCTGCGTACTGAATGCACAACCAATGTGTAGTTGCAATCAATAGAAAAAATCTACGAAAAAATTATATCATTGGGTCTAGGAAAGTTACATCTGATGACTCTAACATCAAATGGGACCTCATTGTATCAGAGATGCATATTCATTGAGTGGACTTTTAAATCAAACATTTCTGCAAAAAAGAAAAACTTTAAATTAAAATTTAAACCAAAAAAAAAAACAGGATGGGAGAGAAAAAGAGGCGAATTTTCATTCCTCAATAATATTAAATCAAGTGAATCATGAATTTCGTCTTATCATTCACTAATCATCATCGTAGTGAATTTTACTTACGAATCCCTATATATACTACTTGAAATTAAGGCTGATAACTAAGCTCCTAAATTTTCAGCAGTTGAAGATAAAGCTCCGAACGAGCCAGCTCGCATACAGAAAAGTGTTGGCTCTAACTCGGTTCGAGCTCGAAAACTCGAACCAAGCTCGAGCCAGCTCGAAATTTGATACTATTTTTTTATAAAATCACGATTTTGCAAATCACCGAAAATAATCGGTAACTAAAAAATTCAAATGAGAGATTTCATGTTTTAACAATATTTGTACTTTTAATAAAAAACGTTTTTAGGTTCTGACATATATGCATACAGTCAAAAAAACCTTTGTTTTAACAAATTATAATTAAAGCGAATCATAATTAAACTCATTTTTATTCGTTTTATTCATTTGTTCGTTTTGTTCCTTTTGTTCGTTTTTATTCCTTTTGTTCGTTTTGTTCGTTTTTACTCGTTTTACTCGTTTTGTTTGTTTTGTCCATTTTGTCCGTTTGTTCGTTTTGTTCGTTTTTACTCGTTTTATTCGTTTTGTCCGTTTTGTCCGTTTTGTTCGTTTTATTCTTTTGTTCGTTTTTTTTCCTTATGTTCGTTTTGTTCGTTTTTATTTGTTTTTATTCGTTTAATTCGCTTTGTTCCTTTGGTTGGACCGTGGTAAGTGCAATCTTCCATCATCATCTTTACACAATTTTCTATGATTGTTCTCAATGAGTGTTTTACAAAAGAAAAATTTTTTTTATTTAATATTATTTAAAAGGCGCGTGAACATTTACTTACACTTTCTCCACAAAATCGCGAGACATTAAATTTGATCGAAAGTGCATTATTCGTTGTTAATTTAGATGATTATTCGTCCGGTGACAATCTAGATCAATTTCTTGGAAACATATTCCATGGAAATGGCTATAATCGTTGGTTTGACAAGTCAATGTCTATAATAGTGGAAAGTAATGTAGGGGCAGGTATGCACGGTGAGGTATGAATATGCTATCTGACTACCCATTTATTTATTTATATTAACTTAAAAGTTAATTCCTTTCTTTCAATATATTTATAGCATTCTCCATGTGATGCATTAGTAACAGCATTTATCGCTGAATGGACGCTCATAGAACCAACTGATTTCGATGCAAAAACCTTGGGCCGAAAAATTCCATCGCCACGTAGAACCAGATTTGTCACTAATCAACAAACACTTAAATTCATTCAAGATGCAGAAAAACGTATATCACAAGTTATCACTGATTCTGATGTTACTGTATTACACTCTTCAGAATATGGTACACATTTTATAATCACTACTTGTTTTTAATATTATTTTGATTGATTGATATATTATTTTTTTGATTATTATACAAAAAAATTCTTATTCTTTTATAATTATTTTATCCCTACAATTATTAATATAAGCCAAGTGTCCTCCGAATGCATATATTCAAATGGTTATTCAATTAGCATATTACAAACTTCACAGAAAAGTCGTCCCGACTTATGAAACAGGTTCAACTCGACAATTTAGTCATGGCTGTACTGAGACCATAAGAACATTGAGTGCGGAGAGTAAGGCTTTTGTTGAAGAAATGGAAAACAATTCTTTATCAATCATTCACACATACGTTTAAAATAGGGAGTGTATGGATCAAGAGAAATCTTTCAACTATTGAGTTTATAGATTGGTTCAAAAAAAAATTTTTCTAATGCTTTGTCTCGAATGCATAGGGATCAAGATGCTCTAGTCTATTACATGACTGTGCTATTTCTCTTACAGCAATGCCAGTAATATTACAGTATCAAGGCATGAATAAGCGAACTCAATGAGTGCAGTCTGTATTGCTGAAATCTCTCTCTGCCTATTTTTGGAGAAAACCGTCTAATATCAATCTACTCTATATATACCAACCAATTGATCAATCAATTGGCAGCTTCGATTGGTTAGATTAGTTTTTTTAATTGGTTAGTTGCTCTATTTATTTTAATAACACAAGCATACATTTAATACATGTCCAGCAATTATAAATACCCTTTTAACAAAGGCAAAGATACATTGTATTCATTACTGATACATTTCACTATACAAAGTACTTTGGATCTGACATAGTTGATTATTTTCAAAATATTTACAAGTTATTGTACCAATTATTTTTTTTGTTTTGAATTCAGTATAACTGATAATCTTTATTGATACTATGATGCGAGATCATTTGCTAGAAATTGCAAAATCTTAATTTGAAAAAATACTGATCCAAAAAAAATAACTTGTAATAGGTTGTGCTGTTGATGCCTCGTTAATAACATAAATGTTATTATTTTTCCAAAGGGAATCTAGGAAAGCAATAAAGAATATATGTGAATTATCTGTATATTTATGCAAATTCATCCAGGCTATAGTTTTCTGGACATTATAAAAATAAAATTGTGAAGTGAAGAACAAATTGTATTAGTATGCAAATAATATCAATCAAACAATGGGAAATTTTTTCCTCTAATTGTAGGTAATAAGGGTGAAGGAAGGAAGTGGCATTTATTAATGTACAATAACAATTTCTATCAAGAATAGCTTTTAATGCTTTTTTAAAAAACTGAAAATATTTATTTGTTGAGAATAGTATTTCTACAGAACATTGTTCTGTGATGGCTCAATTGTCATATTTAAGCCTTCACTACAATATAATAATAATTAAAGGAAGATCATTTCATTTTTTTAATAATTCGGTAAATGACATGAATGTTGTATCTTGGGAATTTGGAAAAAAGAAACATGTCTTATTGAGCTAACTTTTCTTCAAGCTAAGGTTATTTGCAAGAATCAAAACACCATTCACCCAGAAAGAAAAGGGAGATTATATTTCAAAGAGTGGTCTTTGTGACCTTCAATGCACTACCTGGGGTGACTAGAGCTGCGGGCCCAATTTTAAGTTTAAAGAGCCGTCTTATATTTGACACTTTCCCCACAATGGATTAAAGTCAGTACATTACTAATACTCAGAAAGTTCTCAGGTATATGTTACATGTAAATGCTAATGTTACAAATAATAATCAAAAATTTATAGTTTTATTAAAACTTTTTTTTTATATGTTATTACAATTTAGTTTTAAGAAATAAATAACAAAATGAAAAAGAAGAAAGATAAATATATCAAGTAAATTTTATAATGGATATTAAATTAATCAATCATCCATTGATAATCCATCAATCTTATCAATTATTTCAATATCTTTTCCTTTACTATCATTACTAGAATCTAATGTTTATTAATTGATTAAATTGGAATAAAAAAATATTGTTGGTAGTAATTAATCTCTAATTAATTAATGAAGTTTTTATTCACGTTCAACATTAAGGGAAATCAAGATTATTTAATGAAATACCATTACTTGTATAACTTTTTAAGCCTCTTGATTTAATAATTTCACCATCTAATATTCTACTTGTATGATATGCATCTGGATGTGATTTGTATACTTGTTGTAAATCATTACTAACACTATTATTATCATTGTTATTTTTAAGAATTTCTTCATACTTATCTTTAGCAAAATAATAAAGTTCTCTAATAGTTGGTCTTTTTGATGGATCCACATCAGGCATTCCTGGTAATATTGGTGGTCGTAGACCTCCACATATATCAAAAATTAAACAATGATTATGAGCTCTATTGTCAAATGGTGGATAGCCTGCAAATATTTCCCACATCAGCATCCCAACACTATAAATATCTGTTTCATTTGTGTTTTTTGTATTGATTTTGTCTCCAAATAGTTCAGGTGCAACATATGGTATAATTCCAAAGATTTTATTTGATGATTGTTCATCAACTGGTCCACATAATCCCAAATCTGTAATATAACAAGCACCTCCTTGTAATAATATATTACCACTATGTAAATCACAATGCATTAAATCTTTTTCATGTATTTGATATAATGGATAACATAAATACATAAATATTGCAATTCTATTTTTTAATGTCAAATTTAAATGATTTTTTTGTAAATATTCCCTTAAATTTCCTTCTGGATGATAATTTAAACAATTGCATAATTTCCATTATCTGGGAATTTAGTTATACCATAACAAGGAGCAATCATTTGTGATTTAATTTTAGAATAATTTATTGCCTGTAATTAAATATAAATTGATTAGTATTATATTGTTTATTTTTGTTTTAAGTGATAACTACCAACCTCATCAAAAAATGCTTTTCCTGGATTATTTGAATTATTTAAACTTTTTAATATTATTAGTTGCCTTCCATAATAACTGAATTCCTTTTTATTTTCATCATAATCAATTATATGACCTTTTGTTCATGTAGCAGTATAAATTGAACTAAATCCACCTTCAGTTAACTTTGTACTTTCATAACATTGTTCAAAAGGTATCCATTCTAAAATATAAGCTGGCAAAGATGC